GTAAGTTTAGGCACAAGATAGTACAGTGGGAACCAAGAGATAGGGTACATATGTAAAACATATGTAGTACATACGAGGGAAATAAGGACTGCTTACATAAACACACACACACACACACACACACACACACACACACACGGTGGAGACAGTGTAGTGGGTCACAAGCGCCAGGCTCCGAGGATCTTAGTGCTTTTAGGGCGTGTTTTAGCAGCTAGAAGCAACCAGTGTTAGTGACAACATCAGTGAACAACCCTACAAGTGATAACCAATGTATTAGAAAAAATAAATAAAGTAAAGGCGAGAGAAAGCCTGAAATTATACAACAAAATTTCAAAGTGCCAGTTCGTTGAGGCCTAGTTGGCACCTGTTGCCACATTGTTACACATATACAAAGTACAAAGTGAGTGACTAAAGAGAAAAGACCAAATAGAATTAAGAGAGGGTGGTAACGACAAAATGTGATGTAGCACACAGCGTGAACAAGCTAGCCAGAAAGGGGATATAAAATATGTAATACCAAATATATATAAGCAGAGGTGGTGGCAGCATAGGCCTGAGGAGTAGCGCCGCCATAACAGGTTGGGTGTCATCACAATAAGTAGTGTACTTACCAAAAGTGAAGTGTAAATTATAAAAGTAGCAGTATACAAGTGATAAGTGTGGTAAATGAGGACTCAAAAGGGCATGAGAAAAGTATAGCCGAAGAAGTCAGCGGCGGAAGGGCGAGGTGTACGAGTCATCGTACAGTGAGCATCGTACAGCGAGCATCGTACATCAGGCATCTGGATGGACGTCCCCTCTGAGTAACGTACAAATCACTTGTTTGTGGTGGCGGGAAGTCTGAGGGTAGAGCCGGCCCTGCGGATGCTGGTAGCTCGCTATCTAAACCCTGCTCCAGAGCGATTATCACACACACAACACCTAGCAGTAGTAGGAAGATAAAATTTGTAGGAGCAAGGACTAATGGGACTACAGCCCTGACAACAGTTTCGAGAGATAATGTTTTAGGACACAAAGACAGTACAATCTGAGAAGCAAGTATTGGGTACACATGTAGTAAAAGGTAGGGCTTAACTGGGTGAAAGAGTGACTTGTTAACACACGCTAGTATTATAATTATTAGAACTACTCTCAGTGTTAATGGTATCTCATTAGTATTACGGGTACACAGAAGTGAGTTGTATTTCTGGGACATATAAACAACTGACGTGCTCACACACACGAACGCGCGCACACACATACACACTGGGGGGCGGGAGCTGGGTCTCGACCCCTGAAACCACAACTAGGTGAGTACACACAGCTGATCCTTGGAATTTGACTGCCTCCCCCACAGACCCCCACAGACCCTCACGCCCTACCTTTCCCCCCCCCGCGTTTCTCTCTCTCATAACCTTTTTCCCTCCCCCTACTCGCTCACTATCACTCACTACTCAATACTCATCATCACT